TATTTATAAACAACATTAAAATAAAAAATGTTCATTCAATAAAAATTTTAGGTATATTATTTGATGAACATTTAAATTGGAAAAATCATATTAAATTATTAGAAAACAAAATCTCTTTAACCTTGGGGATCATGTTCAAAATGAGGCACCTTTTGAATAATATGTGCCTCAAAAATTTATATTTTTTATTTATACATAGCTATATTAGTTATTGTAATATAGCTTGGGCAAGTAATCACTCGTCTTTATTAAAAAAAATTTATAGCAAACAAAAACAGGTTAATTTTTAATGCAGACAGATATGCACACGCCAAGCCTTTACTAAAAGAAATTAAAGCTCTGAATGTATTCGAACTAAACATTTATCAAAATTTATTGTTTATGTTTAAACTTCACAATAACATGCTTCCATCATATTTTCAGCCACATTTCTCTTTAGTTAATCACAGATACTTAACAAGATATTCTATTGACAATTTTTACATACCATCAACAACTCTTAAAAAATCGGACTACTCTATTACTTGTCGGGGTCCACGTCTGTGGAACTCAATCCTGAATAATGACATAAAATCTATAGCCTCAATTAAAGCATTTAAAAAAACTGTGAAACAACATTTGTTAAATCTAACCAATAAAAATATTTTTTTGTATTTTTAAGTCGTATTTTTATGTATTTACTAATACGAATATGTATGTTTAACTCAAAAATATGTAATTTTATAATAAACAAATTTTATAATTATAGATTTTACGAACTTAATCATGTAAATAAAGTTAACTATTTTACTATCAAAGAGGCAGATGATAAGATGTATTGTCTTCTGCTTGCTCCTGTCAGAATTTAAAAAATATATTTTATTTTATTTTTATTTTACAAGTACATTGTAAAATTTTCTTTTCTTTTTTGTTCATTGACGAAATATATATTGATTGATTGATCTCAAAACATAAAAAGTTCCCGCAAGGTGTTTTATTGTTTTTGAAAAGAATATCCCGTTGCAATTTTAATGGTTTTAAAGAAATGAGGAAGTAATGCTAACGAAAAAAGTTATGAGTCATAAAATCATCAAGCAGTCAAAAAATGTTTTAACTAGCGTTCAAAAATCAGCCATTATGAGAAATGGAAAAGGTCCCAAGATTAAATATATATATTTTCTATTACTCCATTATATCATTCTTTTAATTCGTAGTTAGGGTTAGGATTTTATTTAGTTTATTACTGAAAAAGAGTTATTAGATCCTCTGCGTTCATTTAAATTAAACAAAGCACAAGGATTTGATAATGTTAGAAGTAATGTTATAATTAAATGTATTTTCTATATTAAAAAAATTCTTTTGCGTATATTTAATCTTTCGTTTAAACAAGGAATCTTTCCAAATAAACTTAACATTGCAAGGGTAATTAAACATTAAAGGGTTCCATTGCAAGGAATCTTTCCAATTAAACTTAACATTGCAAGTTCCTGCCAATTTACCTCAATCAATTGCTGATAGCGTCGCACATTGGTCTGTGGCTAATAGAATACAACTCACCCAGTGAAAAAGCGCACATGGGATACGCGTGGGTTTTTTCCATATGTAACCCATATGGGGATTATTATTTTGTCCCATGTGGGTTCCATATGGTAAATCCCACATGGGTTCCATATGGTAATTCCCACATGGGATACGCGTGGGCTTTTTCCATATGTAACCCATGTGGTGATTATTATTTTGTCCCATGTGGGTTCCATATGGTAAATCCCACATGGGTTCCATATGGTAATTCCCACATGGGATACGCGTGGGCTTTTTCTATATGTAACCCATTTGGAGATTATTATTTTGTCCAATGTGTTTTGTTTTTTTGTTGTAGTTTTTACATTCATGTTTCGTCATTTATGTGGTTTGGATTTGGATTTGGACTTATGTGGTTTGGATTGTTCTCCATAGCGACATATAAATGCCGTTATGAAAGAGTTAAAGCAATCTTTTACAACTGTACGCCCTTCCTGACGTTAACATGCAGCAAGTTGTACTAGATTACATGTTAACAGTACGAGAATAACTTGACTTGACGGTCAGCGTATCTGGGTTACATATGGTAAATCCCACACGGGTTATAGGTAGGGTTTCTCAAACGGGATCCCGGGATCCCGTTTTCCCGGGATCCCGGGGATAAAAGTGGCAGCGGGATTTCCCGGGATATCACTCTTATATCCCGGAATATAATTTTTTTTAAAATAATTTTACATATGATAACTTTAAACTAATTCGACCAAAAATAAGAAAAATATTATTGCATTTAGTTGTGTTTTATGTGTTCATACCTTATATTAAAACCTAGCACAACAAGAAATGCTATTGAAACTATCTTAAACTAAAAAGAAATGCATTGCAATGCAATGTTTTCTTTTTTCTCATTATTATAAAATATGAGTAAAAAATAAAAAAGATTTCTTGCGACGAAAACAGTAAGTTTAATTTTTAAACTTCTAAATTATTGAAAAGTTAAACTTTTTCTGTATCAAATTATTGAAATATTTAATAATTTTTGTATTTAAAAAACGGCAAACAAACACATAAAAGTCATACGTAAGATAACATACATATGTAAGAAATATTTGTAACTTTAATTTTAGTTGTTCTGCGATTCAATTTAGTTATACTATGTCAATTGTAAATGGATCCAAAGCATGGCAGTATTTTTGTAAAGAAAAATCTGGCGAATCTGCAATTTGCAAAAAGTGCAATGTAAAGATAATGTGCAAAGGATTTTCGACCAGTGGGCTCCTACGTCATTTAAAAAACACACATAAAGATTTGGATCTAAATATGAAGCGTCTACTTGAAGATACTGGTTCGGAAAATAAAATTGTTCAAAAGAAAATAACATTGTTTGTTAAACAGCAGACTATCGAGGAAATTGTGTCAAAGCTAGCAACGGTGGATGGCTTCTCAATAAATGCCATAACAAAAAGTGAATTCATTAGAAAATCATTGTCTGAAAAAGGCATGTTATTACCAAAAAATCCATCCCATGTTATGGGTATGATAAAAAAACAATATGAATTAGCTAGACAAACTGTGGTTTTAGAGATAACAAAAGAAATTTCTAGCGGGTCGCGATTTTCTTTATCGTTAGACGAATATACGTCTTTAAAAAATCGACGTTATTTAAATGTAAATTTACACTTATCAACAAAGTTTTGGAACCTGGGAATGACTCCGATAGCTGGATCACTTCCTGCAGAAAAAATTGTTGATCTAGTTGAAAATAAACTGTCAGATTTCAGTTTATCAATTAAAAAGCACATCATAGCTAGTGTCACTGACGGAGCATCCGTAATGAAAAAATTTGGACGGCTAAGTGGTATTGAACATCAGCTGTGTTATGCCCACGGACTTCATTTGGCAGTATGTGATGTTCTTTACAAAAAGTCAGACTCTTCAGCAAAATATATTGAATTTGAATCGCAGTTTCAAGATTCCGATGAAAATTTGAGTGATTACGACGAGTTTGATGATGTATTTGACTGTAATGATGAGTCACACAGCTCAACAGGCGTTACGTTTATTGATGATTTACAAAATAGCGTAAATATAGCCTTAACAATTCAGAAGGTTCGAAAAGTGGTTCGAATGTTCCGTAAATCACCTCTTAAAAATAAAGTTTTACAAATGTACGTAAAATCTATGTTTAATAAAGAGCTTAAGCTGATATTAGATGTCAAAACGAGGTGGAATAGTCTTGTTGCAATGCTAGAAAGATTCCTTAAAGTAAAAACATGTATACTAAAAGCAATGATCGATTTAAAAGAAGTTCTGAATATCTCCGAAGATGAATATGCGATTATGAACGACATAACATTTTCTCTGCAACCAATAAAAGTTGGAATAGAAAGACATGGTAGAAGTAATGCTACTCTACTTGACGCAGAAGGTGTAATGATATTCATCTTAGACGATTTGACGGAGAAAAAAAATTTTATAGCTAATAAACTGCTTCAATCTGTGCAGCAGAGAATTGAAGAACGCAGAAATGCCAATTTAATTGGATTACTAAAATTTTTAAACAACCCAATTAGTTATAATCAGGAATCAAATATCAACTCCAAACTACTCTTACCGCCCAAACATGCATTAAAAGCAACAGCAAAAATAATTTATACTAGGTTGTACATAGAGGATGCTAGCCTTAGTTCATCAAATAATGAAATAGTTGAAGTGAGTCGTGATAATGAAAGCATGGTTTCTGACCCGTCAATACCTCAACCTGTTGCTCCATATTTATTAGGCAAAAGTATTTTGACGCTTGAACAAAAATTGGATGCGACTATTTGTAATGTCAAACAAGTAGAAAAAGCAGCTCTAGAAAACATTAGCAATTTAAAAAACCTCACAAAAGAAATCAAACTTTTTGAGGCAACTGGAAAGCGTAGCGAAAGTTTAGAAAGAATATACTCAACATTAATGACCATCAAGCCGACATCAATTGAATCAGAAAGGGCTTTTTCTGCCGCGGGTCTATTTATGGGAAAAATTCGTTCACGATTAAGTGACAAATCAATTGATTGTTTATGTTTTTTAAAACAATATTTCATTTTAAATAGTAATATAGATTAGCGTGCTAAGATAAATTTGTGTCAGAAACCGCTTGTTATTATATTAAAAATTATGCCGGGAAATCCCGGGAAATCCCGGGATAAATAAGTTACACACCGGGAATCCCGGGATGCTAAATTTACGGGAAATGAGAAACCCTAGTTATAGGTTGAAAATACCACATGTTTTGAAAATGCCACATATTCTAATTCAAATGCTATAAAAGTAGCGAATACCATATAAATGAAACGTTGAAATTAATCATGGAAACTTTCAGAGAGGCTTAAATTTATCTGGTATTAGCTACTTTATGCTATTTAGGATCAAATATATGCGATGTTCTCCATAAGTAATGTAGGATTTACCATAAAGTATTATAGCAAAATTCTACAAAATTAAAAAACGTGTTGCAAAATTTATATTTAAATAATAGCTATTAATAAATACATTAAAAATAAATGTGAAAAATATTATTTGTTATTTTGTGATTTACACGCCTTTTTTTGATTCAATTAATAAAGTAAATCGCCTTAGCTCGCTTAATGCTAAGGTTTTTACCATATTAAGAAAAACTACTTTCTTCAAGCATTTCCTAAAAAATATATATACATATACAAATATAACTATAAATAAATTTTAATAAAAACAAATATCAATAATAACCTAAATCAACCTAAATTATATGGTTATTATAGATTAAAATAATAATAAGAACAACCGTAATTAAAAGCCTTATTAGTTAAGAGCAGTTTTAATTAAGAGCCAAATTAAAGTCATTGATGACTTCAACTTGGACTTTATTTCACACATAATTAGTTATTAATTTATTACTTACGATGAATAATGTATTATGGATAATTTGACAAGAGCTTGTATCCATTCATGAGAATCTAATTTGAGAAAAAGTGCTCAATTAGGAAAAGTCATTTATCAAAAAAATTAAAAAAAACATGTAAGAACCTACTTTACAATAATGTACACATTAAGTGCAATAGATACTTGATGCAATAGTATTTTTACTTTTTCGTCGCAAGTATTATAATATTTAAAACCAATCAACAAACATCTAAATTTCCATAAGTAAATTTATTCTTTAATCGTTGTCCTCATATCCTACCTTATTTTTCATATCATAATTTATTGTGGTATAAACTATATAACACATCTAAACAAAATTATTAAATTTGTGATTTTCGGATATATATATATATATATATATATATATATATATAAATATATATATATATATATTTTTTGAATGTAGACATCATGTATGAGAGTATGTAAATTATTATTTTATAAACATCAATAAATACGATTTTCTCTCAATACTAAATTTATTTTTAATTTTTAATTTTTTAAAAGAAATTTTTATTTAAAACAAAAACAAACAAAATCTTTTAAGCTGAAGACGCTTAAAAGATTTTGTTTGTTTTTGTCACAACAATCCAGCGAAAATTTCTTTTAAAAAATAAAAAATAAAAAGTAAATTTAGTATTGAGAGAAAATCGTATTTATTGATGTTTATAAAATAATAATAATAATAATAATAATAATAATAATATTAATAATAGCAATAATAATAATAATAATAATAATAATAATAATAATAATAATAATAATAATAGCAATAATAATATATATATATATTAGGCCATCCCATAATTTTTTTTTGACAACCAAATTACATGCGGAGTCGCTAATGAGTGGCGTAGAGGTCATATTTATAAGTCAAATTTTTTTATTTTTTATTTTTTCCTGTTAGAAGTATTCGCGCCGGTCGTTACGCACTAGGCAATTTATGACCAAAATTGAGCAGTTTTCAACACAACGGCCTGAATCGATTCTGATGTCGAATCCAGTTAATTTTTTCATTTATATTCTCTTCATGTGTTCCCATACCAAAAAAAACACTGTGCTTTTCGAGTTAAGAAATACATAATGCCTACCGTTCACTGATTTTGATAGAAAAATCAACATTTGTGTTATTTCAAAGTGCCTTTTTGTTGATCGATGAGGTCATTTTCAGTCATGGTGCAATATTTTTTTTTTTACTTCTTATTGGTATCAAATGATGTTTTTTAAAAAATTACTTTTGTTGGAACATAAGATTAAACAAAGCCAAACTTAAAATGGTTACCGCCAAAAGATTTGGTATAGGACTTTAAATATTTTGCTGTAGTTTTAACTAGATCAAAATGTGTTGATATATTTCAGAAAAGATCTACTTAGATTTTGTGTGTGTTATTTTAAATTCTCATTAAATTTTAAGTGCTCATCGCAGAGCACCGCAGGAAATTTTTTTACTAGTAAACGTCGTTTATATGACTTAACCGGCATCAATCCTCGGACCTCCGATATTAAAGTAAGAACTCTAAGTACTGCCGTAGCTGCTATTATATTTATTATATATATAATAAATTCTTTCCTTTGAGACACATATCTCTAAAAATCACATAATTTAGTTTTTTTTTAAATACATTTTCAAGGTTTAGAGTCTACAGTAAGGTAATTCTAATTATTAGAGATATTGGAAAGGTTTTGAATTATTAACTCACAGCTAGTAGCGAGGGAGCAGGCGTTGTAACTGACTCCTTGTATCCATTCTTCGTCTTTTTAAATGGCTTTTTCCAAGAGTTTTTCATTTGGAGAAGGTTCTGAAGTTTTTCCTCGCTCTTCGCACGCTCTACATTATCTTGAATAAGTTTTACTGCACGTTCTGATGAGTCGTTAACAACTTCGACAGATTTTACGAAGCTTTGAAACTCTTTGTATCCTGGAAATTCTATCCAAAAAATCTGAGGGAGTTTCATCCATAGACATTTTTCAGAAGTATGACCTAGGATACCAAAAATTAACCAGGAATCTGGCAAAATATATGATTCAAGACCTGGTGGTTGATCTATATTAAAC